AGGTTTTCTTAAAGAGGTAGCAAATAGCAGCAAATATGTTCTTTTGCATTATAACTGCTGTAACACTAGTGAAATTCTCAAAAGTGGAATGCTATTTACATAAGTTAAATTTGTTCATTATAAAGTAAAATATTGGCAAAAAATAAATAGCTACTCTTGATGTATCCTCCTCCTACCCTCTCTCGGAACCACTCCCGGCTACAGAGGGAACATTACCCATGAGAGGGGCAGAGATTTAGAGTAGCTGCTTCCAAAGTGGCATCCACTGAGAGCCAACAAAACCAAAGATCTTAATCTTTCCCCCATGATACATTTTATAAGCATTTAGAATCATATCCTTCTGTTAGTATTAAGATGATTAATTGCAAACTATTGTTTCTATTAAAAAGCAGTTCAAATTTGTGTGTCTGTCTACATGTATCCCTGGAAGTTAGGTTTCAGGACAGCTTTTAATATTCTGTGTATGAAAAGTAACATCCTGAGGCAAATGTAGTAAGTGTAGCTTGTACAACCGCTCTGTTACACGGAATTTGTTTCCCTTGTCCGTTAGAACCATGTATTACTCCCTCACGACTTCTTTCCTTTAAAGGGAAATCCACACAGACCCCTCACGGGCCCTGATTAGAGGTTACCATATTGTCACAGCCTTAGACCAAACTACAGAGGAAAGAACAATTGTGCTTGGGACAGCTGCAGCCATAAACTGTTCTAAGGCTCCTTCCTGCTACACAGGTAGTTGCCAGCAATCCTAGCAACCAAACTAAACTGGGAGAAAACACCCCTCCATAAGGACCAGCATGCCAGCTGTGACCTCAGAGAAAGGCTGGCTCCCAGAAAAAAGGCAGGCCCACCCTCCTCTTGGCTTAAACTTCAGCCCTGAGCCTGCTGCAGGAAGAAAGCCAGGTCACTCCTAGACCAACAGAAGCGATGGCCAGAGGACAGTCCCTCTACTCACGGACACCCAGGATAGTGTCCCTCAGTCTGTACCTCTAGGGGGCTCTTGATGTACCTTCAGCACCAGAAAGCGGGATTTGGGCACAATGGGCCAGGAAGGAGTGAGGTGACATCAAAGTTATCTGGGAAGCTATTCTGAAAGCAGTTATAGACAACAGGAGGAGGCCGAGTCTGGGGAAAGAACGACCAGCTCAGAGAGGATGCAAATAGCAGCAAATATGTTCTTTTGCATTATAACCCATTTCAACGTTGTTTACTCATTTTTTGTGTCATAAAAATGAAGAGGAACCACAGGAGAGGACTTGAGTGGGCTTTGGACAAGACTCAATTCTCAGCTTTATATCCTTGCTGTTTACTTGGACAGACTTTTATTATTAAATGGTTTCTAAGATTTAGAAAAGCCAATCAATATGTTGCTACCACCTTTCATTTCCCCCCAAAAAGTAACACTTAAATGTCACCTCCTCCATAATTTCGTTGGATTTTCTTAGTTAACTCCTGAAAATTGCACGGTGGGAGTTTCAGACAGTTCTAACTACTCGGTTCATGTACATTAAGAAAACTCAGAGATAATTTTCAAATATGAAACCTTTATAACAAGTAGGTCCCCTGAACATAAAATAGACATTTTTCTCTGGCTCAAGTTTAGGACTAAATGAAGAGGAATTGGAGAGGTTCCAGAGGACAGTAATGAAAATGATTAAAGGACTGATGATGAAAGGTTCAAGGAATTGGGATTACTTAGCCTGGAGAAGAAAAATTTGAGGGGTGATTTAATGGCAATCTTCAAGTACAGTATGAGGAGGGTTATTACAAGTATGGTAGCCAGCTGTTCCCCAGCTGTATCAAAGGCTGAAAAAAGATAGAACTAGAATTTCAGCCAGAGTCGTCAGACCAATTTATCGATGGTCCTCAAGCTAGCTCAATGGATAGAAAAACATTGCGGAAGACCATGAAATACTATGCTTTGAATGTAAAATATATATTTGGCTAATTTAGAAACCAACCTATCTACTGGTACTACAAAAGCTCAAGGGAGAATTCTAGAATTCAAATCACCTGAAATTGGGAAAATGTTGACTTTGAGGAGGTAAGTGGAAGTGAAAACCTTCCTTCGGCACAGGGACACCTGGATTTGAGGAGCCCAGCTTGAGAACCACTGAGCTGGGAAGCGGAAAGCACCGGCACACCTACAGAGATGGCAGCAAGCCAACGGCCAGCCAGAGCCCACGAGGATGCTCGGATGCTCAGATGCTCGGATGCTCGAGGTGCTCAACCCCATCTGAACCGCGGTGACGCTTCTTTCCTTCGGCACTGACTTCTGTCTACACCTGGGAAGGAGGTGGTGGTGCCCATGCCATACAAGCACCTTTGACCACATGTCTTAGAGACTGGGGAAGGTACCCCTTGTATGACAGGTGTGTCGGCCTGTTCCCAGAGGAGGCTACACCAGCAGTGTCCCTCGGAAGGGGACAAACCGGCTCTGGCCTGGCATGTGGATTTAGTTCACCATTCCCGACTCGATGACCAGGCACTCCACTCTTTTAAAAAGTGATTTTTTTTTTTAATGTTTTATTACAAAGCGTCTTTTAAAAAATGCTCAGCACGTTAACTCAAACTGGAATGACAAATGTTAGATGACAGTTTGGGGCAAAGGCTGTGCCTTGCTATTTAAAAAAAAAAAAAAATGGTACATCAATGCTCATTTTAACAACTGGCATAAAATCCCACTAGTTGGCTAATAAAAACAGATACAAATACAGAACATTTAAAGTAATAACAATTCAAGTGCTGGGCTTTTTACAAGGAGGTGAGAAGAAAAGAAATGAAAATTCACTGCAAACTGGTCTACTGAAAGTATCTGTTAAGGTTTACCGTTTTTTTTTTTTTTAAAAAGAGCGATCAGACAAAAAATAAAACGAAACAGTACTGCCGACTGCTACCAACAGAATGGATTTGGCCGTTACATTTATTTAGCGCGACTGAACACCTTAGAGGAGAGGCCACTATTTGTCACAGGCCATTCACAGAGAAGCCCCTTACGGACAAGATGTCACCCCCAAAGAAGGCGGCTTCTTTTCATTTCATTTTTTATTTCAAACTTTTCCAGATCTTTGAATTTTCCTTAAAAGCTCATAGCTAGCAAAATATACAAGAAAATTAAACCTAAAAAGTGTAAATTAAAAAAAAAATTCAAGTTTAAAAAAAAAAAGAAGCAAACATAAGATTCATCCTTTTGCACTGTTAAATAAAAGCTTTAGGAAAAAGGAAGAGAAAGAAAAATGAAGACAGAGAGGGAACTCTTCCACAAATCCCGCACTGGGACGCCGATGGACATGCTGGCTGCCAGCTCCCGCTGCTCATGACAGGCAAAGGCAGCCAAGTCACTGTCCTTGCCGAAGGTTACAGGTACGGATGCAAGATGCTCTGGGGAGTGCACGGCGGACACAAGGAGAGGAAAGCTGCTCAGCTGACTCAGGGCCTGCAAGCATTCTCATGTGCTTTTTAATTTAAACGAAAAAAAAAAAAAAAAACCTTTATGCTTTATTTTGGAACTTGGCTCTTGTGGTAGATGAAGGGGTGGGGGTTGGCAGTGATTGTCTTTGTGGATCAGTGTCTCTAGCAGTGACCTCAGGGTGAAGTTGGTGTCAATTCTCCTTTGGGGTCGACTGGGCAGGCCGTGGAGACAGTCTGGGTTTCAACAAGCTTCCATCTCCAGAAGAGGTCCCGGGGCCGCTGCCTTGGCTTTGCACGTTGGGAACGAGCTTCGTTTTCCACCTCAGGAAGGAACACACGAAATGCTGTTAACGTGAATTTGCCACAGGCCTTTGAAAATTTTAACCTCTACTGCACACAGCACATGCCTTAACATGTCTGCATTTAATTAATCCACTTGGTTGATGTGGTGATGGCTAAAAACATATTGCCCCACGGTAGCCCCGACTCCCCAGACCGTGTTAGAGAATGAGTATACTTTACTGAAATGTTTACTTTGGTTCCATGTACGTGTATACGTTTGTAAAGGTTATGTGAAATACACTCAATACTTTGGATTGTGGTTAAAAAAAAAAAAAAAAAGTTTGAAAAACATCAGGAGGAAATGGCCAAACGTGAATTGTTAACAACAAGCACTGGCTGGATCAGGGACAGAGCTGTCATCTCAAGCGTTTAGTTTTTTAGTCCACTGTGGAGAGCCACTGTATGGTTTTACACAAAACTGAACTGTGCTCCAATGAGCCCATGCACCGCACACGCCCACAGTAGCCCCGTAACCAAGATGTGCTCTGTTCACCACAGTCAGTCCAAGGTGCACAGGCCTCTCTGATTTTACTTAAGATTTTACAATTCTCAAGATTTCTTCCCTTCATAATAATTAGGATCTCTAATGTCAGCCTTAGAATGTACGCTCGAAAAGTATTTAAGTAATTGTTTGATACTGCTGATGATAATGACTTTCAAAAAAGGAGAATCCCCAAGCCCCAAAAGCTTAAATGAGCTTTTAAAAAGTGATTAAAAATAAAACATAACATTGTAACAGATGAGACAAAGACAAAAGGAAAGCGAAAGCATCCCAAAGTTTGGTTCCTTCCCCCTGGAGAGCATCTGCCTCCCTGGCTTTGAACTTGGGGAGGCCACCTCATTCAGACTCTGCCTGGATCCCTGCCAGTCTCAGATGAATCCCAACCCTTCATGCTTGTGCCATCCTTGCTACTAGCAGAAGTTTCCTTTAAAAATTAGTTCTAACGGTGGACTTTTTACGCTCTTTATATAAGAGAGTGGAAAGAGACCTTAGAGGAGAAATAGAAGGAAGTTTTGAAATCGTTGAATAATGAGAACTAAACTTTGGATGGCAAGGCGCAGTCTACAAAGTGCCGCTCGCAGAAGAAGGAGTGGGATCTGGGGGATGGGACCTGTGAGGAGGAGAGGCTAACGCCCACAAGGTGCGCGGGGCTCAGTGAGCCCAGGGATGCGTCAGCTGTCACTGTGATGACTGCACCACCACCGGAGCTGTGTATCTGGGTAGTTACTGAAAAAATAAAAACAAAACGGAAGGAAATCACAGAATGCTGGCAACTGAGGTCGTCAAGGGCAGTTTCGATTCCTACTAGTCTCCTTTTCCCTGTTGAGCAGGAAGACACTGCAGCATCACGGTTTTCTAACCTTAGGCGCAGCGCCAACCCTTCACACAGGAGGGTCGGAGTCCCGAAGGACCCTCCCTTTCCAAGGAGAGAGGGGCGGAGCCCGGACAGTGGCGAGGGCGTCTGCACCACACATTCTCAAAGGTTTGCCCCAGAGTGCTCTTCCCGCTGGGGAACAGCCTTGCAGCCTTAGGCCAGGAGCTCACAGCAGCTGGAGGCAAGTGCTAGGACTCAGATGAACTGGCCATTGGCAGCCAGAAATGTCTGCTGGCTGAAGGAGCCAAACTGTCCCTCTGTTGGGATCTGTGCCTGCCCTGAGCCTCAGGCCGACTCCGAAGTCATGAGGCACAGATGACCTCCAAGGCCCTGCTGTGGCCCCCATTCTCAAGCGGAGCTGGACACCACGTCATCCTCCCCCACCTCGCCTTACCCAGAAGGGCCTTCTCTTCCTTCCTCGAGCTGAGCGCGATGCTAACATAACTGGTAAAACAAACTCGGCTGTGTTTAGAGGGACCATTTACCGCGATGATAATACGCACTTCCCTGGAAAGAATCTCGACAGCTCCTCATAAAGCTGTGTCTTCCTACAGGTAGTCTCACATTTCCCCACTGTTATTTCATGATTTCAGTCTCCTCTTACAAATCCTTCTGAAAAGCAGGCTTCAGAAATCCTCTGTACTACTGTCAACCAAAAAGCAGCTCGCCCCCACCCGAGATGCCTTCTTAACAGCAGAACAAATGGTTAAGTAACGTGGCAAAGAAACCGGCTCTCAGGTAAGGCAGCCTGGCCCTGGCGGCTCCCGTGAGTACAGGGTTGTCAGGGCGGAACCAGGTCTTACCTCCGAGTGGGAGAAATGGGAGCCTGACACGGTGGCTTTATAGACCTAAAACTGGTCAAATCAAGAGTCTTTTCAAGAAACCACAGGCATGAGGCTCGGAGACTGGAGACTTCCCACATCTAAGGCTTCACTGGGGGGCTGTGGCGGGGCTGAGCCAGGCTGGGCGAGCCCCAGCGCAGCCCAATCCACCAGTGAAGTTGCTGTAATCAAAGCCGCAATTACTGCGCCCGCTTCAAAGGGAGCCAGTGAGGCCCCGCTGCCTACATGTTAAGGCTCAGGCTCCCTCCGCCAGGAGTCACTGCTGGCCGCCTGGTGGGCCATCTGCAGAGTGGATCTGAGGGAGGCACCATCCATCTGAAACTCATGATGCTCTCGTGGACCAAATTCCAATCTTAACAAAATATCCCACTGACCAAATGGAACCAGAAACCTACAGTTATTAAGAGCCCAAGTGATAAAGGGAAATCTAAAGGGGTGAAGATGGATTCGCTTCTGGGGATAAACAGTACTGACTCTGAGGCATTAGGGCTTTCTAGGCCTTGGTTCAAAAAAAGTGAAAAGCAGGAAGGAGCGGTGATTCTTGCTCCATCAGCTCTAACAGAAGATTCTACCAGAAGCTGAGTGCTTCCCAGCCCATACCCTGGGCGTCCTGCGGCCCAGCCTGGCCCCCTTCCCCAGGCTGTCTTCTGGCTAGTTAAGCCAAGCTGGAGGGGAGGAGGGTCAGCATGTGACCAGGGACTCACTGGGTGTGCTCGGCCGGCCAGGCCAAGCTGGGGGCAGCAGAGCTGGTCTATAGGAACAACACATGAGGACAGCCCACCTTTGTGCCATGCAACGTCACTTTCCTTGTTCAGAAATGGTGAGGAACCCAGAAAGGTGTGTTAAAAGGTCCTCCCTTCATCATCCTCTCAAATGCTATTAGCAAGGAGCAGGAAGGAACTTCGAGTGTTTTTAAGTTATGACATGAAATTCGAGGAGAATATAAGCGATCGGTGTTGCGAGAGGTGAACAGAGGCAGATTTTAATTGCAAAGATTGCCTTACAGCAGCACGCTCGACGCACCTCCCACCAATTGTCTAAGTTCTCCACCTCGCCACAGGGCAAACTGGCAAAATCCTGTGATTTCAGGGTGTGAACTCTTGCACCACGGTGGAGTAAGAAAGGAAGCGCAGACTTCCAGAGCAGGAAGCAAGCGTGCCGAAGCTCGTCCGGCCCCGCTGTCTTAGAGCAGACTGAGGCGTGTGGTCGAAAAATGACTGGTCTGAGGTGACCCCCAGAGAGTACCCAGGCCTCCTGATGCCATGTGTGCCACAGCCTTGTTGATTCCAAGGTGGCTCTGTCTGCCGGAAGCTGCGGGGTGGGGGCGAGGGAGAAAAGCAATGTCCTGTCCGCTGAGCACTGATGCGCCAGGCACGGAGACTTGCACAGGGTCAGGTCACCATCACGACAGCCCCACCTACTTTCGCCCATTAACAGACAAGCAAATCAGGGCTGTGGGCCGTTGACACTTTTTGCCTGAGGTCACCCAACCAGTAGGTGGCAGGGTTAGCTCTGGAGTCCTAAACATATGTTCTCTCCACCACACCTTTTTTCTCATTTTGTCCAAAAGAATAAAGTAGCCTTACTGAATGAAGCTCATGAATAGTTTTAGCAGATTCACCTCACTCATCTGGACATCAGTGAACCTGGCAGCTTCAATTCTCAAGGACATAGCTGAGGAAAAGAAAGCGAAAAGGCCTTACGCCATCCTAAGTACTATCAGAAAGTTCACACACGGACAGCACATCTCACCCTTTCTTCAAAGAGTATCCTCCACGCACCGATCTCAGGCCCCACTCACTTTTAATTTATGTATTATTTAAATAAGCTTTGTTTGCTTGTTCGCAGATCCACACAGCATCAGAAGGAACAGACCACTGTATGGGAGGGGTACGGGCCCTCACAGAAAAGGAAGACACACAAAAAATTATAAAGAGCAGATTTTTAAAAATCCGACACTATTTGGGGTAATTAAATAGTGGCGAACAGCACCAATTTCTTAGCCTATACCATCGGCCACATTTATATGCACTGTAGAATAATGGCTGAGGTATTAAGAAATATTAAATTTGCACATACCTGTTGAAGAGTTGCACCCAAAAGAGTTAAAAATTACATGTTTTGATAAAGAGGTAAAACTAGAGTTCTCTGGGAAACCCCACTGTCCAGAAGGGCTGATTTCCTCGACGGTTTCAGATGGTTCGGTGAGAAAAACCCACTCTATCAAACGATTTATCCAAAATACTTTTTTTTCTATCCACTATTCTTAAGTGCACTGATCTTAATTCAACTGCATGGGCTTTCATGAACAACACTAAATATTATGGCTCAAGAGGGTTTTAACGAGCCTCATACCGCTATATTTTAATGACGAGTGATCAGTCCAGTTAAGGGCCCAGTTCCCCCCCCGCCCATTTGTTTCCCAAAGCAGCTTAAACATAATTCAGGCTCTTGTAACCGTTACATAGGGAACAAGAATCGATGGCAAGGACACTGCAGCACGGCAGAGACTTTAAAAGCTTTCACCACGTGTGTCCTCCCTTCCCAATTTCCTCACTAGCACGCAACTACCTAGATAAAACTGCCCTGCCTGCTAATCCAACAGGCCCAGTCGCCAGATGACTAGGGAGCTACAGGGCACACCTGCTGGATCGCTGCCTAGTGCCCCTCTCATCCCCGCTCCTCACACCCCAGGTTAGAGCAGGCATCCCTGACAGCCATCTGTCCAGAGCGACCCTCCCCTCTGGCCACAGCTGATGAC